CGGTTGCGGCACCCCTCTCTGCCTTGGCGAAGGGCTCTCGGCCTCTTTGCTTAGGGCTTTAGGGTTTAGGGTTTGGGGTTTAGGGTTTAGGGTTTGGGGTTTAGGGTTTAGGGTTTAGGGTTTTAGGGTTTATTGTTTAGGGTTTAGGGTTTAGGGCTTGGGGTTTAGGGTTTGGGGTTTAGAGTTTAGGTTTAAGGCTCAGAGTTCAGGGTTTGGGCTTTAGGGTTTAGGGTTTGGGGTTTGGGGTTTAGGGCTCAGAGTCTAGGGTTTAGGGTTTAGGGTTCAGAGTTCAGGGTTTAGGGTGAGGGTTTAGGGTTCAGAGTTCAGGATTCAGAGTTCAGGGTTTAGGGTTCGAGAGATTTTGAGCTTGGGGTGTCTCCAGAACGTCTGCAGACCCTTCTCAGTATTTGTGCACCTTCTAAGCAAGGAGCCCTAAACCCTAAACCCTAAACGCCGGGAGTTTATGCAGCAGGGGTCTCTATAGCAATCCCCGTCAGTCGCAACCTGAACTTCGAGTCTAGGGATTTGGGAGTACGGGTTCGTTCTCGTGGTATCTTCAAGCCGTCGCCAACTCCTGAATTCCCTGAAGCCCGGACCGCGCTCTAAACCCTAAACCCCTAAACCCCAAACCCTAAACCCTAATCCTGAACAAAAGCATCCTTGCGACCGTAAACCCTTAACCCTCCAACACCCCGGACCCGCTTCGACCCCTCCTTCCGTGAATCTCTACTCACCCCCTGCTCCCTAGAACCCTCCGCCCTAAACCCTAAACCCTAAACCCTAAATCCTGAACCCTAAACCCTGAACCCTAAACCCTAAACCCTAAACCCTAAACCCTCCAAGGTGGCAGCTCTCCTTGGTGTTTCTGGCCGACTTGGCCCAACGGACACTCGACCTCTCTGCCAGCTCACCCATTCCATCTGGGGTGTAGTGTCTAAGGTTTAGTCTCGAGGGTCTAGGGTTTAGGGTTTAGGGTTCAGGGTTCAGGGTTTAGGGTTTAGGGTCTAGAGTCTAGGCAGAGGCTTTTGTACTTTAGTGTTTAGGCTTGGGTGGTCCAGGGCGGCCGATTTGTGAGTTGGGTTCTCCAAAACGATAGGGCTTCAAACCAACAACCCGAAAGCCGAAACCGTAAACTCGTCCGGCATAGCATAGTGCAGTACAGTATCGTACACTATAGTATACTAGAGTATAGCATAGTATGGTATACTATAGTACAGCATGGTATTTTGTTAGTATAGTATTCTTTGTCTATTCTTGTCAGGATTCTTTCAGAGGCGTCCGCAGCGACCCAAACCGGTGCCCCGCCCAGGCGACTTCACGCCTTTGCGGCCCCGGAAGCGGCCATAGGCCTGGCTAAGTGTGGGTATTTTTTTACGATATTGTACCAACATACTACAACATGCTATGGTCTAGGGTTGAAGAAGATGTTGATCATCCAAAGAGCAGGGAAAAACAAGATCCAAAACTTGGAACCCATGTGCTCAAAAAGCCCCAAGTGGGTTGAAGGTGCGTACCAAGCTGCGCAGTGGCATGAGCCTGCTAGCGATCTGCTGCTGGGCGGCCGAATCCCGATGTAGGGCGTAGGGACCCCCCTATCTTAAACCCTCCAAATCCCCGTTAGGTTCCTGTTAAACCCTTATGGAAGCCTTGTGAAACAGTCTTCTACTTGTTGGGGCTCCGGTAGATGGGGGTGATTTGAGCCCTGCTGTTTGATTTTCAGGGCTCCAGGGCGCTGTTTGGAGGACCTCTGCTTTGGAAGTTTGAGCCTTCTTAGCTTGATTCCTTGGGGTTTGGGATGGGTGCTGCCGGGGTTTCTGATAGCTTCGGGTGGGTGCGTATTCAATGTTTGAGCAGTTGGCCGCCATGTGATCATGACCGGGTCCTTCGCCAAGGAAATCCAGCCCTCTTCCTTCGGGTTCCTTCACATAATGTAGGCGCCTAAATAATTTACCAAGGGTTCCTAATTATAAGTGCAATATGAAGCGCCCCAAAGCCTTATATTCTAATTATTAAGGCCCCTATATTTGGCGTAGTACCAGCCCAGCCACAAACAAAAACCCTCGTCGGATCACATAGCTGAAATCTGACGAAGCAGCCTCCTTCACTTGGAAAAGCGTGATATAGGCGCCTTATTAATTAGAGAATAGGGTTTTCGGGGTTTCTGATTATAGTTATAATATAAAATACCCCCAAACCCTATTCGATTCATTAAGGCCCCTATATTGTGTGTGTCTTGATCCCCATCTGTTGCCATGGCCGTCCCGGAGGGCTATGATCCCGTCATCGCTTTTAAGCTCTGCCCACCTGGAGGGATTGTGTTTCAACTTGGCATCTACATCTTCGCACCTGCGGCGGCACCGAGAATTGTCTTTCTTGCTAATGTAGGGGCCTACACAGTTACCAATACTATTTTGGTGGTTCCTTATTGTAATTTTAAACGCTTCGCGTCGTCCGCCTCGGCCCGGCCGCAAAGAAAGAGGGCCAACGAACTGCTGGTGCTGAAGGCGCCGTTGGCGGAGCGGATGAGGGGAAGGGGAGGAGATTGCGTTCGGCGGCGCAGCCAGAAGCAAGGCAGGCAGGCGGAGGAGGAGATGAAGCAAGGAAGGAGTCAAGGCAGGCTGGGGGGGGGGGCGGGGCAGGGGGG